CACAAATGGGAAGAGGTGAAGATCTCTATGAATATTTCTCTCCACTCATAATCTCTGACAGTTTCAGCAGATATTGCTGTGCTCTTGTAGCCTTTCTACAGTATTCTCACAGCCATGATTTTGAAAGGTCTGTACTCCTCCAAGATTTCTATAAGGGAGCAGTTTAAGAGACTTCCAATTCGCATGTAGTTAAGTGGTCCCTTAAAGCCATTAAACACACAAGCAAATTGGAAATAAACAACAGGATTCTACTGGGAAAGGGTACCTTAATTCAAAGATAGCTGGTTTTGACCATTATAAACTGCTAGAATCTGTATTAGTGTAATTGTTGGCCTAATAAGTATGCCACAGTAACACAAATTTTGAAATATAAACCAAGTTACTCCATCAAACCAAGTGCAGTTCAAAATAAAGCTTGATGCACATTTGAGAGTCCTTTTTGCAGCTGATGAAGACAGCAAAGAATGAAAATTAATTGAATGGATCACCATGAAGTGTTACATATGTGTGTGAATAGGGATTGAAAACAACCATACCACCATCAGCAACATCTAAGGTCTCTGGCCTTGCTTGCAAGGCAGTATATATATAGTAGTAGGCATTCTTCAGTTTCTATGGTAACGTGCTCTGAATAGAGGTCTTGGAACAGCATCTAGTGTGGCTGAGAAGGCCAGTCCCTTCCACAGTGAAGACAAATACAATCTGTCCCCTGTCCAGCTCCCTGATTTGCCTGCTTTCAGGACTGCCTCATTGCCTTGGCCTGCTGAACAAGTGGTTTCGAACTTGTGTTGCTTGCTGTAGCAGCACATTTGCCAGTGGCACAAATGCAGTTCAAAGTACAAACAGGTTCTCTGGGTTGCATGTTGACCCCAACCCCCAAATCAGCATCTTCATAAGTCACTAGCCACTGCCTTTAAAAATAATTTTACTATGTGTTATTATGTATTCAAGATGCACTTATCAACTGACTCAGAAGGTCTGTCATCAGACAGAAAAGAAACAGTTAAAACAATGAAGGAAATTAAATACAGAAAGATAAGACAGCAGTTCCTTTGTTTACAATGCTGGTTTACAAAACCAGTTGGAAGTAATGCAAATATCCTGTCATTATCAAGCTAATTAACAAGTGTATTGATAAAATTGTCACAAAATTTAATCCAGGTAATGCTGTCTCATTTGTAATTTCCTTGCTCAAGGCCTATTACAGCAAGGACATATAATACATATTGCTGGAATGCAATCCCTCTAACCCATTTTTTTGGTCCCCTGCAATCATGGGGAAAGATAAATATTTTACTTAATTTATATATATTATTGATATGCCACCTTTCTCCCCATAGGGAACACAAGGCAGCTCAAAACAACTAAAAGTATAAAACAGCAGTTTTTAAAATACTATATACACACATATTAAAAAAAACGTATATAAAGATTAAAAATCAAGATTAAAAACAAAACAGTTAAAAATCTGTAAGTTCTGAGGTGACCACCTCATTCTGCCTAATGCTACAGCTGGCCCTGAAAAAGAGGACCACTCTAAAGGGATGTTCACCTATCTGGCTTAATCACCATTTCAGTTTTTCCAACTAAGCTGAAACTAAGGTAAAGGTAAAGGTTCCCCTTGACAATTTTTGTCCAGTCGTGTTCGACTCTAGGGGGCGGTGCTCATCCCCATTTCCAAGCCATAGAGCCAGTGTTTTGTCCGAATACAATCTTCTGTGGTCACATGGCCAGTGCAACTTAGACACGGAACGCTATTACCTTCCCACCAGGTGCTCCCTATTTATCTACTTGCATTTGCATGCTTTTGAACTGCTAGGTTGGCGGGAGCTGGGACAAGCGACGGGTGCTCACTCCGTCGCGTGGATTCGAACTTACAACTGCTGGTCTTCCGACCCTGCAGCACAGGCTTCTGCGGTTTAGCCTGCAGCGCCACCACGTCCCTTAAGCTGAAACTGAAGCCATTCACAATTAACTGTTTTAACCTAACTTTCTGTTTTAACCTAACCTGGCCCCTTCGCTGGGTATCTTTAAATGCCAATTGAAAACTGTTTAAGCAAGCCTTCCCTCCATCCATCCTCTGAATTTTTGTTATTTTGTTCCTTTCTTCCATCGTGGATCACTGTTTACTTAGTAATATATTGTTATGATTTTAAATTGTTATATGATATGTTGTTAGCCGCCCAGAGTAGTCTATATGACTAGATGGGTGGGCTATAAATGTAATAAACAAATAAACAAACAAGTATTCATGAGATACTTACTGCTTTAAAGGCCTGCCTGAAGAGGAAAGTCTTTGGAGGATGGAAGGACAAGAGGGAGGGGGCCAACCTGGTTTCTAAGAGCAGCACATTCCAAAACCTGAGAGCAACCACGGAGGAGAGAGAGCAAACACACGTCGGAAGATGGTGGAATCGAAAGAAGGTCTTAAAGGCTGAGAAGACTCATATCCTTCCAATCGCTAGACTCAAGCCCTTGTTTTAAAGAGAAAAAAGCACTTTAAGGGAAAACAACAGAAGTTGGTGATGAAGGGATTCTGCAGTATTGTGATATAGTGCGATCTCTGGAGGATGGGGTGGGAATAAAGTACATTTCTCCCTTCAACAATGCTAGAGTTAGGGGTGCTGGACCTCAATGTAGTCCAAAATCCATATACAACTCTCATGCTCTTCCAAACATAACTACAAAGCATAAACAGTTGACACCCCCCCTCCTCCTGATCCGCGTCAGCCTCCCAGCATGCTGCAACTGCAGATCAGGGGCCACTGCACTGCCAACAACAGGGTCCTAGGTAAGCCTGAGACCCACCTTTCTCAGGCCACTTTCTCACGATGAGTAGCAGCAGAGTATTTATTCATTATTTATATATTGAAATATTTATTTATTTATTGGGAAAAAAATCTGCATATAACCAAAACTGTGCTGCTCAGATTCCTACAATTCAAGAGAGAAGGGTGGTATCCTGGGAAAATAATAAATTTTCTCAACAATTTAAGAAAAACCAACCATGTTAAGAAGGGATGTGGTGGCGCTACGGGTTAAACGGCAGAAGTCTCTGTGCTGTAAGGTCTGTAGATCTTCAGCTGTAAGATCGAATCCACATGATGGAGTGAGCTCCCGTTGCTTGTCCCAGCTCTCACCAACCTAGCGGTTTGAAAGCATGCAAATGCAAGTAAACAGGGACCACCTTGGTGGGAATGTAACGGCGTTCCATGTCTAAGTCGCACTGGCCATGTGACCATGCAAGATTGTCTTCAGACAAACGCTGGCTCTAGGGCTTGGAAACGGGGATGAGCACTGCCCCCTAGAGTCGAACACGACTAGACAAAAATTGCCAAGGGAAACCTTTACTGGTTGTTATGGGTTTTTTGGGCTCTTTGACCGTGTTCTGAAGGTTGTTCTTCCTAATGTTTCGCCAGTCTCTGTGGCTCGCATCTTCAGAGGACAGCACTGTCCTCTGCTGTCCTCTGAAGATGCCGCCCACAGAGACTGGTGAAACGTTAGGAAGAACAACCTTCAGAACATGGCCAAAGAGCCTAAAAAACCCACAACAACCATTAGATCCCAGCTGTGAAAGCCTTCACGAATATAGGGAACCTTTACCTTTACCTAACCATGATTCAGACATCTATTTAATTGCTTTGTGACTCTGGAAAGCTAGGGGTTGTTTTAAAAGAAATCAGTGTGTCACATTTGATTGACAGATACTTAGTCTATTCTCTTGTTAAGAAGCTACTGCTACACAGAATATGGGGAAGGACTACTTCCTGCTGGCAAAGTTATCAGAGGTGTTTTTTAATCTGTCTATTCAGTATATATGCTGAATAACATGTGAAAAATAAAGTACATGTAAAAAATAAAGTAAACCCTCTTTGAAGACTATGGCTTTACAGATCAGGACATGTTAAATATCATCTGGTTCTTAACAGGTCTGAAAATTAGGTAAATACAACCTCAGATGAACAACAACACACAGTTTATTATACTGCGTGATGACTTATTCTACAAAAATAAAGCCAAAATGGAAAAGCAATGTACTTTTGGGAAAAGCTGAACACATGAATCCAGGAAGACAAAATACTTGACAAGGGCTAGACTCCATGATGTTACTGGATACCTTCAAGCTCTAGCTCAACAAAGGATTGTTTTTCCTTTGCAAGATCGGAGCTGAGTTATTAGCTATAAGGCCTTTTGGAGGTTATTAATTCATAAGGGCACTATCAGTTAGTTGGTAGTGACTTGACTGTATACTGTATAACGTTACCATCCCGCTAGTACTCCCCGCGTAATTTTAACTGTCAAAACCCAGTCTTCCCAGATAACCGTTTTCACCATATCACCTTAAATTAGCATGTAACCAGCAGGTCATTGCAATTTGAAAAAGCAAATTTAACGTGACTGCACCAGTAGTGGTGCCAGCCATTGAATCGAACGGGCTTTTGATGGTGACCGCAACATCATCCTGGACAAAGCAAGATGATCACAAAAAAGGCAGGGGTAAAACTCTGACATTCGACATCCCAGTTCCTCTTGGTCCGAGCCACATGAATATAATAAAGGAGCACATGCCGCCGCTAGACCCAGAAGCCGAAGGCGTCTCGTTCAGCTCTAAACATACTGTACTCGGTTTATTTTGAAGCGCCATCGCGTCAGCGGAGTTGTTAACTGCTATAAACGGCAGGGACTGTCCTGTGAGGTAAGCGGAGGCTGAGGTAGTCAAGCACAGACGACCTCAGGTATAAGAAACCCCTGAGGGGATTCCCTAGCCGCCCTGCTGATGCACAATAATACACGCCAAATTTGGCCAACGGCAAGCAGGCCAACAGGCGCTGGGAATTCCTTTTGAGTCACACAAGTCACGTTGCCCAAGGCCAACGTGCCCTCCTCCTCCTCCTCCTCCAGCATTCGGTCTTCGCCTCAGTGAGGAAGAAAGAAACAAGGCCCCGACTGCAGTCAACCATTTCCCTCCCCCCCCCTTGTGACGGAAGTAACGCCCGGTTCCTCCTTCCCCAGCCTTCTTGCGGGGAAACCCGCCCCTCTTCTCAGACCCCCTCTCCCCTTTTCAGCCAGAATTCGCGCCAAAGAGCCGTATGATGTCATCACGCAAAGCCCTACCGCTCGCCTCCCTTGTTTTCAAACGAAGGGGGCGTGTGGGATTGGCTGGTGTGGCTGCCACGTGATTAACGGTCGCGGGAAAGCCGCGGAGTCCGAACGGGTGAGCGTGCTGCGCTCGGCGGAGGGGAGTGCTGGAGTTGCACGGACGGACTGCTGCGGCGAGACCGAACCGTGTCAGCCTAGCTGTGGGATCCCCCTGCGGGCGTGACCTTTGGCCGGAGGGGGGCGGAATCGCGTGTGCCCGTGTGCCGTCTGAACCAGGGCAGAGATCGCGACGGATCTCGGCTATGAGTTTCCTGAGCCTTCAGCAGCAGCCGGCCGCGGGGGCGCGGCGCCTTACAGCCCGGAGGGCGGCGGCCCCGATCCGGCAGAAGCTTCATTTCTCGGGCGGTGGCAGCGATTGTGAGGAGGACGAAGAGGAGGAAGAAGACGGCTACGAGGAAGAGGAGGAGGAAGGCGGCGGCAGCAGCGGCAACACGACTGGGGAAGACTCGGCCTTCCAGGAGGCCGATTCCCCGTTCTCGGTCAGCCGCACCCCAGCTCGGCGGGAGGCTCCGCCGCCGGGAACACCCGAGGAGGTGGCGATGGAGCTGGCGCCGCCTGCCCTCCCGGGCGACGAAGGAGACTCTTCAGAAGAGGAGGGCTTCGGCTCCTCTTCCCCCGTGAAATCGCCCGGCACGTACTTCATGGCTGGCTCGCCGCCCTTGAAGGGCCCTCGTCGTTACTACGGACAGTCGTCGCCGCCGCGCCCCGGGGCCATCCGTTATCGGGAGCACCAGGGGCCGGGCTCCCCGCTGCCCGAATACCCCGGCACGCCGCCACACAAGACCTTTCGCAAGCTGCGCCTCTTCGACACCCCGCATACGCCGAAGGTGAGAGGAGGAGGAGGGCGAAGGGCGGACAATGGGCTCGGGTGGGAGGCAAGCAAGGGGGGCAGCCGGCCCCGGGTGGGGCGATTTCCCTGGAGGAAGGGGCCTGGTCAGCTGCGGCCTCGCCACCGGGTGGGAGGTGATCGTCCCGACCGTTTGGCCCGGGGGAGGGGGTGCGGGAGGGGAGCTTCCAGGAAGCCCCCGAGCCGGGTGGTGGTTGACCTGCCCCTCCGAGCACGTGGGCGAACGGTGAGCTTCGCGGGGCCGGTGGGTTCAGGAACGGTTCTCTTCGGCTCATGTCGGAAACGGAGAACTGCCGGGGGGGCTGCCTCAGTGGCGCTGCCTTTCGGAGGTGGCCTCCGGTAGGCTTGGTCGGAGGTGTTTTCTGTTTTGTTATAATTGCTGCCCCTTCTAAGGGGAAAAAGCCTGGCCTGGGGTGGGAGGACCCGGGGGTGGTGGTGAGCGGCGCCCTAGGGAGTCGGCGCCACACCCCTCCGGCCTTTTGTCAGGGCCTCAGAGCTGGCCGCTTCCGAGAGAAATAAGCGAGCCCCCTCTCCTCCGCCCCCCCCGGCCAGTAGCCGGTTCTTCCGTTCAGAACAAAAGAATTGCACCCGGAGTATGGATTTTCCGCGGGTCGCTCGGCCGGTCTTGCGAAGCATCTCAGACCTGACGGGGGGAAAGAAGGGAGTGTTGGGCAGGAGGAGGAGAAGGACGCGGTGGTGGTGTTTTTGACCCTGGAAGCGAGCCGCAGTTGTGAAGGTCCAGGCTTTGTGGGCACGTCGCTCTGACTGGTGAAGGAGGCTCCTCTCAGCCCAAACACCGGGGCATACGGCGTGCTTGCTCGCAGTTCTTGTTTCTCTCTGGCCAACAGCACCGCTTGTATGAAGGTCGGCCTTTAAATTTCAGCCTGTGTGAGAGGATGCAAAATATTCCACTAAAGTCAGGCAGGGGCTTGAGGTCATTGTTTGGATAAGTTTTTAAATAGATATTCCATCATGCTCTAGTTCATCAATCAGTGAGTGCCAAGGACATAAATTTATTCTTACAGTGCCAACCCACTCCTCCATCATGTTTATTACATAACAAATTGGCTTGCCTGTTGCAGACAAAAATTGGCATCCTTCGGAGGGCCTGCCTACAGATTGTCCGTTAAGATTATGTAACAGAACTACAATTTGTGACATCTGTTGAAAGCCTTTGTCAGCAGTGAGACCAAGTTGCTTTAGTCCAGCAACTGATTCTAGTTACTGTGAAAAGAAAAAAACTGTGTTTGCTTTTTGTTCTGTCTTTTTTTAGTGAACTGATTTTTGTGTAATATATAGTAAACTGACATATAAGCTGCCTAGAGTGGCCTTGTAGGCCAGGTGGGCGGGGTATAAATCAAATAAATAAATAAGTGATGAGATAATGAATTTTGAAGAAAGAATGGAATAGTGATATGTACAAATAATGCAGTGCTGCACATTTATGTGTAATGTTTTTGAGATGAACTTGGAGGATGCTTTTATTATTGGTCTATAGTGACTGAGACTTTGAGACCATTCACACTGAGCATTTGTTCAACTTCTGTTTTACCCGTGATATTGGCATTGTTTCTGATGTCCATTTAATGTAGAGCTGAAACGGGTCAAAACTCTTCACTTTCTGTTTTTCCCCTCACCATCTCTGTGTAGTCACATATTTCAAATATGCTCCCACCCACAGTCTGCTTATGTGGACTCCAGTACGGTGGTAATGAGCACAGATCTGTAGATTTTGTGTGTACTGTATATTAAAATTGATGATTTTCCTCTTACGGGTTTGTTTCTGTCTGTTGTGTCAGGAAATAAATCACTTGACAAGTGGTACAAATTGTGGTATATTTTTCTGTGTGATTCAGATATGTAGCAATAGCCTTCATGGGGATGAAGGGATTCTGCAGATTGTACAAGTGGACCTTTTTTGCACAACTTGGTTTGCTCAGTGAAGAGGTGGGAGCCTGCAGTAGCAAGGAACAGGGATGGCTAAAATTTGCTGCCTTGCCTCAGATTTAGAGCAGCAACCCCAGTGGTTGCAGAGGGCTATTGGTACCACTTAGTCTGTTCCCAGCAGCTGTAACAGCTGAGTGAGCATGCCCATGTTATTCTAATGGTGGCACTTGACAGCATCTTTCCAAAAAGGTTTTCCCCCCTTTCCAGCCAGCCTGTCAGACTCCCATCTCAACTTTCTCCCCTGCCCCCTGCAGCCAAAACCTACAACACATTGGAAAATATTCCAACAAACATTAATTAAAAACCAAAGCAACAAAATTCTTTAAAAGTGGAGTTAGAAAGTTATTCAGCAAAGATGCGGTTGTTAAAAAGTGATGGGCGAGTGAAGAGAGTAGAAGAGAGAGTGAAGTGGGTAGGGAGAAGATAGTGAAGATAGACACAATTAAAGGACACTCTGTTTTGGAAGTGAGATAATCAGGGAGCAATTCTATATATGTGTAGACTGCAGTACTACAACAATTCAGAGTATCCAAAAACAAATTCACTCCCCATGTATGGAAGCCAATATTAAGATATCTATTTTTAAAACAGCAACAACCAGAGAAGCCCTTGAATGACTGGGCCAATGCCACAGTGTATTAGACTAGCCTGTATTGCTTTCCAGTTCATTTATGTGCACATTTGAAAGTACTGATGATTACTGTCAAAGTCTTACATGGGATGGTTTTAGGATATTCGATGGACCATCTTCTTCTAAGTTAGCCTATCCACTTCTGAAGACAGGTTTCTCTAACATGGCGGCTTCCAGCTGTGTTGGAAGAGCCACCATAAGTATCCTGGGCAGGTTCTTTGTCATCTGATATGGAAACAATTAGAACATAGGGATCAGCAGTCTCAGCTATGTCTAGATGAGGAAACAGCATCCTACCTTGGATAGGTTCATTGGCTTTTCATATCTTTCAGTGACCTTTATTTGCTGTAACACCTAGTTCTACAACTTGTTTTTTTTTTTGTTTGTTTATTTAATTTTTTTGTTTATCTTCATGGTTCTATAAACTACAGTCAACCCTTGACTTACGAACGGCCCTAGTTACGAACATTTCGACTTAACGAACCGCTCTGATGGGAAAATATGGACTCGACTTGCAAACTTGGATTCAAGTTACAAACAGGAAAAAAGTGCGGGGAAGGCAGGGAAAGCAGGAAATTTGAACTTTCAGTTAGCAAAGAGGCTGCTTGTCTGTTTCCTCGCTCATCCAAGCAGAGAGTGGGAAGAGAGACCTGGGAATGCCTGCTATTGTCATTTTTAAATGTAAAATTTAGTTTAAAAGGTGCTTTGTTTGGGTTAAACGGTGCTTGGGTAAAAGGGAGCTTGGTTTGAGTTAAAACCTGCTTGAGTAGAAACATTCTTGGTTGCTTTAAAAGCTGCTTGTTTTGATTTAAAAGGTGCGTGGTTGAAAAGGTGCCTATTTTGGTGTAAAAGGTGCTTGATTTAAAAAGTGTTCTTTTAAAACTGTTTGTTCATTCCCTCCGTGGTTTCCTGCCTTTTTTAAACCTATGCCATTTTATGTTTTTAAAAAAGAAAAAATTCTGCCCCTAGTGGTAGGAACGGATTAACCGGCTTTGTATTACTGTATTTGCTGCCATACAAGGCGACTGGCCGTATAAGATGACCCCCCCACCAGAAGAGGCTGGGTGGGCCGCGGCAGGAGGAGAAGGAGGAGGAGGAAGAAGAGGGGCAGGAAGCGGGGG